TCTCTCTCTCTCTCTCTCTCTCTCTCTCTCTCTCTCTCTATCACACACACACACACACACACGCAGAGATACACAACACACAAACACAATCTCCTGTGAGTCTGTCTCTCTGAAATAGTTTCATGTTTCTGCCATGATCATGTCTGCGGAAGCAAAAGGTGGTCCCTTGATTCCCTAAGAGGAACTATTCTCCATTTAGTGTTCTGCTGGGATGATTTAAGGTGCACCTCGAGGGAATTTAATGCTTGCAAGACTTCATGTATGCAGATACGTTGAACATTTTCCCTTCTCGGCCCATGCATGTAGATCCAAGGACAAAGGTACCTGGAATGAGAACTCAGCTTCTCTTGCTCTTCATCTTCTTTTGATATTACTGGCAGTACATATGACATTTACTACTCATAGGGTGGAATCAGCTCGGCTTCTCCAGCAAGTAGTGGTGGTTCTAAGCCGTCGGAACAAGCCATGGATTTGGGCAACGCTGAGAGTTATCTCCCAGCTTTGCCTGAGCATGGCGAGGATACCAAAGCAGCCATCCTCAAGGTGAACCTTCTCTCTCTCTCTCTCTCTCTCTCTCTCTCTCTCTCTCTCTCTCACTCACTCTCTATTTAGGCTTTTTTACTTGTTATTTACTTCCGGCTTCAGAAAGAAGGGAACAGAAAGGGCATATCTGGTTCAGATCATCGAAGGCTCAAGACACCGGACCCTAAGGTGTGCTAGTGTGAAGCTCTCCCTCTAAAGTACTTTGTTTTGTAGGAGGAGGAGAACTCTCTAACAATATGGTTCATTTATTTGGGAGCAGACATCGAGAAGGCTTGCTCAGAACAGGGAAGCAGCCAGGAAAAGCAGGCTTAGGAAAAAGGTCAGTCAGATAATGAAGAACATAGAAGATGATGAGCAGAAAGAACAGAATATTCCACCTAAAACCTGACTCATGTATTTGCTGCTTAATTCTTCTCACTCTACAGGCTTATATACAACAATTAGAGAGCAGCAGGATTAAGCTTTCTCAGCTTGAACAAGAGCTTCAAAAGGCAAGAGCACAGGTACCCATTAATCTTACATATTTGAACTCATTTAACTCATCTTACGATTCCCCTCAATCAAACTATCATACTTCTTGAAGGGTATATTATTTGGTGGTGGAGCAGCTCTTGTGGACGCAGGTGTCGGTGGGTTCAACTCAGGTACCATCATTCTACAGTGAGCTGACATGAGTACTGTGCAGTTCACCAATGAAGCATGTCGGTGTTTGGAAGCTTATCGCTGACGAAATATGGGTTGCATTTAGATGAGGCCACGTTCGACATGGAGTACGCGAGGTGGGTGGAGGAGCACCACAGGCTCATGTGCGAGCTCCGCAGAGCGGTGCAAGAACAGTCGCCGGAGACCGAGCTGCGGATGTTGGTGGACATCTGCCTCGCGCATTATGATCAGATGATGCATCTCAAGGGTGCGGTCATCAAGTCGGACGTCTTCCACCTCATCTCCGGCATGTGGATGACCCCTGCCGAGCGCTGCTTCATGTGGATGGGTGGCTTCCGCCCCTCCGAGCTCATTAAGGTCCCTTTCACTGCTCATCCAACACCTTCAACAGATCTCTTTCTTGCATGCATCTCCGTACACCTGGGATTAAACACCAACATTAGTACCATATAGCATTTGCAGGACAATTTAATGCTCGGCAGCAAACTCTGATTCTCCGGTAACGATACAGTTGCCATGATAAATAGACCTAACAAAAACCTCATGCAAGTATAAATAATAAAGGTTTAAACAGGCAGTTCTGACATGAGCATAGTTTCTTTGAGGATCGATATCACCAAATGGTGAATCTTATCATTTGAATAATCATCTCTCCAAGCCAGAAAGGCTGTGCAGTAGCCATTTGTTTAAGGATGTATCAACCACTGCGCTTGGAAAGTAATTGGCCAAGAGCTAGGCTTATTAACATATATGTACACAAAGTTCTCGTATGCCATAGGAAGATGATGGATTTGGTGCCTTATGATCAGCAGGGCATGAGCTCACAGGATGTGTTCTAGTGGAAGGGTTGAGTACTATCTTTGGATCAATTTCCAAAAGCTTTTGTGTGTATTTTGATGCACATCTAAATTTCAACTCGGACAATATACATTGTTCTTGAGGTATATATGCTGAGTAATAACATTCAAATATGATGTTTAGGATAACTAAGCAGCTCACATGGAAAGGTTCAAACTTCTTAAAGCATCATCATAGTTCTACTTGTGCTGATACGCATTATGCTTGTTTAGATGCTTTTGAGACACATCGAGCCATTGACAGAGCAGCAGATATTGGGAGTGTGTGGAATGCAGCAGTCGACGCAGGAGACCGAGGAAGCACTGAGCCAAGGGCTCGAAGCCCTCAACAAATCTCTCTCGGACACCATTGCCTCCGACGAACTGAGCTACACATCCAACATGGCCAACTACATGGGGCAGATGACCGTCGCCATGAACAAGCTCACCACCTTAGAAAGCTTCGTCCGAGAAGTAAGCTTACGATCCATATAACATCTTGTTTTGTGTTTCGACTTGGGGTGCAGCAAGTTCGCCTAGGAAACCTACATGCAAAGGACATAGATATACCTTGTGAGCTAAAAACATAAGGTAGGATACGGTGCCTAACTACAATGCGATGAATGCTTGCAGGCAGATCATCTGAGGCAGCAAGCACTTCACCGGCTTTACCAGATCTTGACGACGCGGCAGATGGCGCGATGCTTGTTAGCCATTGCCGAGTACTTTCACCGGCTCCGTTCACTGAGCTCCCTTTGGCTCTCTCGACCGAGACTTCAGTGATCGAACGCAACCAGGCATTGCATGCATGCAGATGAAGACGAGAGTGGCCTCAAATGTGTATTACTTATTTGTGTACGACTACCGTCTCTTAGCACTGAAAGAGTTGAGGGATGATGTGATTTATCCGGAACTCATCTCGAGATGTATACACAAACAATGACTCCATGCATAAACACGCTGTTTAAGGAAACATGGTTTAGGATTCACGTTCTCTACAAATATTTACCCAATATTGCAGTCATTTTCCTTTCATCCACTGTCATTTCTTTTCCCAAATGCTAAATTAAATAATTTAATTTGATAATAAGGTGGAATAAGATAAAAAATTATAAATACTTCTGCAGGACCATGGGATCCTTCGGCCTGGCCCAGAGATCGATCAGGCACCATGCGAATCTTAACAAGAAACAACGGCCAGTCGATCCCCATCAACTAATACGAGGGTTTTGTAATCTCCACGCAGTGCTTTCCTTCCCACCTGCTCCGCCCCGATCGTCGCTTCCAGGGTTTCGACTGCTCGCCGGCGACGACGAGGGTGGGCATTGCGGCGAGGGCCACCCGACCTTGTTCCTCGGATCTGGTGCTTCTCTAGGTTCAGATTGTAACTCGAGCATGGGGGCGGGGAGTGCTTGCGGTCCAAGATGTACCGCGAGCGCAGGGTTTGGTCGATCGAGGCCAAGCATGGCGGCACCGCCCTAGCCAGCCGTAAATCTCTTCGAGTTCTACCAAGCTGACGACGTCAATACGCCATTCCCAACTGCCGCAAACCCAAGCCCGCCAAGCTCAGGTCCAAATACCCTTCTTTATCCCCGTGCTCTTTTGATTTCTGCGGCGATTTCCCTGTCTTGGTCTAAGGGTTGATGGTTTTCGTTTCGGGGTTCGGGAAAAGGTTCGTCTTTTTGAAGCAGCTTCCGTCGGGATTGTTTGCAGCGCTGAGCGTTTGCACATTTAAGATTTTTCTTCCAAAAGAGTGCCATTTCAATAGCCTCTGCAGGTATCATCAGTAACTTTTTTTGTTGCTTCTATCATGAAAGGTTTTTTCTTTGATTTGTATGAGCTAGTTCAGATCTCTCTTCATCCAATGGCTGCTCTCCGATACGGCCGCAGTTTTCATTATAATTAATCGATTGCAAGTAAAGAACGTAGTGCATTATTTTGATATTGATTTACTGGCTTCGAATTACTGCTCTAATCTCATTGGTTTCTGTTTGCAGGGAAGTTAATACTCGGAAATGGTTGATAGACGGCAGGTGTTCTGTTGCTTAAGCTTGTCAAAGATACAGTGTTTTAGTATATTTTGGTATACAAATTCAAAGTTCCTGAGATTGATGGTGAGTTGGTCCGCATCTTTTTGTCAAGTAGTAATACAATATGAATTCAATTGGTATTCTGTCCAGGTTGGAAACATGTACAACCTAGTCGAATTGCATTTATGACGCTGCAACTCAACTTTTAGGCCTTAGAAACTAATGCAGCCTTGTCAAGTTGCATGTAAGACATAGCAATTCAACTTCTTGTGGACTCCTTTTATGAACTTTGGTTCTTGATCTTTAGGTCATATATGTGTTGAAGTTATTTTAGTTACATTTCCCATTGGATAAGTGACATCCCAGTTTAGTTCCTGATTTGAGATGGTTTATAAGTCTATAATGAGTCGATTATTATTAAGTATTTTGGGCTGGAGTATCAAGTTAATTGAGCCCTAGAATAGGGTTACCATGGATGAAAATTACAGAAAGAAAAGTCAGTATGATAACAACAGCCATAAATTTCCCAGATATATCATAAGCTAATTAGTGTTTCGGATTTGTAGCCTTTACTAAACTGAGTGCACATTCTTCATTTTCTGTAAGTTTTAGAGCCAAAAGATTGGATATGAAATTATTAGATTCATGCTTATATTAGGTTCGAAAATTGTGTGAGACAATATAGCTCTCACATCTGCTACTCCCTGTTGCTAGTTGTTGTTTTATTTTTCTTTTGTTTGGCCAAGCTTTTTATTTGATTCTTTACTGCAGATGTGCTAATGTTATAAATGCATAACTAGGCTCCTTGAACTCATGGATAAAGCTAGTAATCTTGACATCTCGTTGAATTGTTGAATTTCCATAAGCATTTTTCTTTTCGCAGATTGTTTGATTCTATAAACATTGTTTTTTTCTCTTTCCTGACTTCGGATAAAATAGAAATGATACCACTAATTACTACTTTAGATGTTAGATCAAAGTTTTCTTATTTTGTTCAATGTTGTTTGTTTCTTTACTGACATACTTGTTGATTCTTGATAAGTACATTTGTCATATTCCTTGGGTTATAGGTTGTGTTTTTCTTCAATTGCCAAGTTGTCTGTTGGTACTACTTCATTCTATCTTCTCCTGCTGCTACTGCTGGTGGCCGTTCGAGATCAATGCAGTCCATCTACGTTGCTCAAATAAGGTTTATATCATTGTAACATCCACCAAGATTCTGATTTCTGGAGTTGATGTTGTGAAGTTTGATGAC